AGTACATAAAAACTAAACAAACATGTAGAGCTCAATTTTAGATGAATTTTGCAAGTTGAATGGCTCAATTCGGAGTTCGAATGAATTAGGTATGAATTTTAGAAGTTTTAAGCCATTTAAATGAATTTCTAGAATTAAACTCGATTTATTGCGCAATTATTATTTATTTTTACAAAGGAAAAAGGCTATGCTGACGTCAGCAAGCGGTGAGGCGCGGACCGCGTCACAAAGGGGCGGGCCCCACACGTCAGCGGCAAAGCCCACCGTGGACCGAGTCCACGGCGGCAGCCGGCCACGTGGGCGCGCACCCGACGCTCCGGATCGGCTGGGGCCGATTGGACGGCCGGGGGCGGCCGAGCGGCACGACCAGGCAGGCACGCCCACAGGCGGCGGCGACCGCCGAGCCTAGACCACCGGCGACGACGCCGGCGGCGAGCGGCGACGGCGCGAGAGCCGGCGAGAGAGTGGAGAGGGAGGCGGTTCTCACCGAGCGAATGGGGCGGCGAGACGAAGACGAGGAGGTGGCCGGCGGCACGGATTAGGCGGCGGCGGGCTCACCGTGGATCGAAAGGAATGGAGCACCGGTGGGTTTCCGGTGGTTTGGAGCGGCGACCGATCTGTGGCTTGAAGCGGCCGAGCCGGTGAAGGAAACGGCACGGCTTGGCGGTGGCCAGGGCGACGGCAGAGGTGCGACTGGAGGCACAAAAGTGGCTGTGGCTCGGGTTCACCGTGGAGCGGGCGGCTCGGGGGTGGAATGGAGGAGCGGCGTGGTGGCCGGGCTTGCCGGCGGAGCAGCGAAGCTAGTGGTGGTGGCGGCGCGGCTTGAGGTGGACGGGAACGGCGGCAAGAGGCTGCCGAAGGCGGCGAAACGGCGGCGGTGCTCGGGTGAGCGATGGAATCGGTGTATTGATTGTGGTTTGGGGAAACGGAGTTGCGGACGGTGTGCGACAATGCGTGGCGAGGCCGGTGGCGCAAGCGGCGTGGCGCGGGGACGGCTACGGCGGCGGAGGTGGCCGGCCGGAGATGGCAACCGGCGGCGGCGGAGGGAGGTTGGTGGTGGCGGAGTGGTTTCGGGCATGGGGAAGCTTGGGAAAGAGGGGGAAACGGAGGAGGGGAGCCCGGGGGTCGTTTTTATAGCCTCGAGAGTCGACGGGGGGGCCGGTTGGCGACGGATTTGAAGGGGGAAAGGGGCGCCGGCGACGTGGGTGAGTGGGGGCAGTTTGGCGCCGGTTTTGGAGGGGAGAAGTGGGGGAAATGGTGGAGGAAGGGGATGACGTGGGGTGGACCGCGCCCACACGCGCGCGGGAATCGGAAGACGCGCGGGGAGGGGCGGCGACGTGGGCGGCTCGGGCGGCCATGGCAGTTGCCGGCCCGGGCTGGAGGTTGGGGATGACAGGTGGGGCCCACGGGTCCCACCTGTCGGCCTGAGTGAGAGGGGAGGCCAGGAGGGAGGAAAAGCGGACTTGCGCCAAAAGGGGAGGCAAGCCGGGCCGCGGGAGGGGAAGGAGAGAGGATTTTGGGCCGAGCCCGAAAGGGAGGAAGGGGAAGTTTATTTTGTTTTCTTTTTATTTAAATTAGTTTAATGAACTTGGTGACTTTAAAATTATTTCTTGAACTCCGAAAATTCATGGAAAAATCCGGAGAGTATTTTAGGGCACAAAGAATATTGCGAAATATTCCCGGCCAATGATTTTTAAGGGAAAATTTTAATTCTCCCATTATTTCACTTGATTAAATTGATTTAACTTTTATTTAATTTCTAGAAAATACATTATTTAATGATTTTTAAACCCGAACGAAAATCGGGGCGTTACAAACCTCCCACTGCGGCGGCGCACTCTGACCCCAACCTCTAGTTCTCTGAGACAGGCGATGACTTTTAGGGTTTCTAGTCAAGGTCGCCATGAGGTGGCGGCGCGGCCGCCACCACCACCCTTTAGTCTCGCATGGGGAGAATCGGAGAAGGGAGGAGAGGAAGAAGAAAGGGAGAAGTGGGGTTGACAGGTGTGTCCCACCATTTTTTATTTTTACTCTTGTCGTTTACATGTGAGACCCTTTTTTTATTATTTTTTTATTTTTTAATGACTGAGATGCCACATCAGCATACTCGGACAAGTCAACATGCCATGTCAGCAAAAAAAAAAGCTTTCAAAACCACTAAAGGAGTTAATTTGCACTGGTTTCTGGGAGACGTGTTATACCCGGTTTTACAGTTGACTGATGCAATTCGACGATGGGCAAGACATAAGGGACTCAAAATAGACTTACTCCAAAACCTATTGGAGTGGACGGGTGAACCCGATAATGACCCAAGAGCCCGTTTAAGCAGGATTAGTGATCCACGGGCCACTTTTTGCTATTGTTGTATAGCTATTGGATGTATATATCCAACGGTTAGTAGAATCGACTAATGGATCTGACTTTTTACAGGCGATTGACCAATAGACTGTCCCGTATTATTACACAGGCAAAATATAGTTCCAATAAAATCGCGTGAAAATGCTACTACCTGACAGGTAAGGTGTGGAAGCGAGACACAAACAGATTTGTCTCCACCAATCCCCTCTCAGGCCATTCATTTCGATATCGTTTTCTCGAACTGGAAACCGTCGCGAATTGGGTCTTGCTTGCAAATTGCAGTGGTCGATTATTGCCTGCCCTTGTCATCCCCTAGCAGAAACGTAGTGGTAACGCTAACGTCGACGACGAACTTAATTAGCTGTACTCCTTCCATTTCATTTCTGGGTTTCAATCTGTACATATAAGTGGATTTTTTTAATAGAGAGAATCAGAGAGCCCCGTATGAGTGGGTCCAATCGGAAGTTAGTTTGTCCGGTACATTACATGTCACGTACTCGCATCCTATCCCTTTTTTTTCCCATGCGTCAACCGGTCAAACTTGGTGACGACAAGTTTTGTGATAATTTGGCAAGTTGATTGTCAATACAAGTATCAAATGTATGGATTTGATACTGATATTTGATAGTGTTGAATGCTAGAGAACATGGGATTACTATATAATGTGAATTATTATATTTAATCTTAGGAGCAAGTATACATAGCAGTATATTGACAGATAAGGGAATGGACTAGCGATAAGAAATTACTGGAAACAAATTAATTGTATTCTTATATTCCTGTAACTATCATATTTATACTCTTAAGCGCGAGTAACGCGAACTATTTTTTTTGATTGGAGAAGAAACAATAAAAGTGTTCAGCACAAATGATAGTTATTTGTGCGGTAGTCGATATAGCCAAAACATGTATCATGAAGGCAATGGCAATGCGTCCTTCATTCTGTCTGACCTGGGCTACCAAGTAGACCTCAAGACATAAGGCCCACAATGCATTTTGGCCTCGAATCAGATCCATAAAAATCTAAAGACAGAAATTCTTTATCTTTGTTGCCCAGGCTCCACCAACGCAGTCCGCCGCCTCGTTTTCTTCTTAGTTCCCACGGCGCCACTAACCTTTGCAAAACCGTCGACACAGCTCCTCCTCATCTCGGCCGCTCCCCTTCCCCCATGGGCGGCGCCGCTCTCTCCCTCTCCTACTGGCAGCACCGATGTGCCTCCCCCCACTGGCAACGCATCTCTCCCTCCCCATCTCCGCCGCTTCCCCTCCCCATCTCCGTAGCTCGACCGAGTTGGCAGCGACTCGACGACGGCCACTCCATAATCCTCCTCGCAAGATCCGGCCTGAGAGTTGCCGGATCTGGCCTTGGAAGGCGGCAGTGGTGGCACAACGACAGCAATCCCATGCCCCCTTCACGGTAGGCGTGGCCTCGATGGCAGCTGCTGCCGTTCAACGACGGCGGGGCGGCCTTGACGAAGGTGGTTGCAGCTCGATACGATGGCGGTAAGGGGACCGTGGCTTCATGTTTGGGACACAGCCTCACCAACGTTATTTCGCCCTTCTTCTCGCGCGTCACGGGGATACGTCCTGACAGGTTCTAACGAGGTTCAGGTGGCCAAATGAAGCTCCCTGATCTTCACAAGGGCTCGCTGAACGCCGACGTGGCTTGGAATCTCCGAACTGGCGACGTGAGGGCGAACGCCACCTCACCGCACTGTGAATGGCATGACGTAATCGCGATCGAGGTAGCCGCGTATGGAGGAGTCGTAATTAATGTAGCCAAAATGAAAGTATGGATATCGAGATAGCAGAATTGCATGGCACACAAGTGATACCGGCCGTGGAGTGATCATGGACGAATGACATGGACCAGGGTGTGCAGCAGCGACGAGGTTGGAGATGTCAGGCGAGCGTGTGCATGCGGCTCAATCCTCTCCGGAGTCCGGGAGAAATCAGTGAAGATAGGTACGATATATATGAGGCAGTGGGATAGATGTTGGATCCAATCCAATGATTTAAATTTTGCACTGTAGGACTTTGAGTAAGAAAATCTTGTAAATGTGTAGCACAAGTAGACCTTAGAATTTACTTAAAGCACAAGATACTACGTCCTCCGTTTCACAATTAATTAATATAACACTTTCTAGCATTACTCATATATACATATCATATATACATATAGATGTTAATAAATTTAGACATATAAATGTGTCTAGATTCACATTAACTTCTATACAGTGGCTAAGCCAGAAATTATATAAGATTAGGGCTAAGAAATGACCCGACTAATGGAGTATTAGTTTTCTGAAAAATTTACATGGTGAATCAACAAAATTTAAGCAAGTTTTTGGTGGCAGGTCTAGGGCTCAAGCCCTAGCTGCCCTAGGCCTACCTCCACCCCTGCTTCTATATGAATATGAGCAACAATATAATATGAAACGGAGGGAGTAGTATATTTCTCATCAAATAAAAGTTACTACTTCCTCCGTCTCAAAATATAACAATTTTTAAGTGGGCGGGATATATTTAGTATTACGAATTTGGACAAACGTCTATTTAGATTCGTCGTATTAGGATATGTCTCATCCAGTTAAAAATTGCTATATATTTTAGGACGTATATCCAGTTAGATTCGAAGTATATTTTAGGACGGAGATAGTAGGTTATATTCTTTTGAGGATAATTGTTATACATGTTTTCGAATTCGTGATTAATTAATAATGTAACAACCTAAATGTGCGCTAATTACATCATCATCAATCTAGTAACCTAGTAACACACTGTATTATCTACGATTGTACTGACAAGGCAGGATCTGCTTCGACCTTGTCGCCGCTAATATCTCCGAGCTCCGCCGGAGATGGCGGCGGCTGCTGGGCGGTCTCGCCGGCGTCCCTCTCCTGCCGCTTCTTCGCCGAAAACTCCGAGACGTATCCGATCACGTCCGTCAGGTCGGCGTGCGACGACCCGCCTTCCTCCATCGCCGCCCTCGCCTTCGCGGCGAGCTCCTTGGCGCGCGCCCTCCTCGCCGTCCCCTCGTCTCCGCCGTCCATCAGCTCGGTCACCGCCTTGACCACGCCGTCGCTGGTGAGCTGCACGCCCTCGGCCTCGGCGGGGAGGAACATGGGGGGCACCGTGACGCCCGACCTGACGCCGACGCGGAGCACGTCGACGAGCAGCTGCTCGCTGCTGAACTGGTCGGAGAAGTTGGGCCACGTCAGCGCCGGCACGCCGTGGGAGATGGCCTCCAGCGTCGCGTTCCAGCCGCAGTGGGTCAGGAACCCGCCCGCCGCCGGGTGGGACAGGATGGTCACCTGCGGCGCCCACCCGCGCACCAGGAGGCCCCTGTCGCTGACGCGCTCCTCGTACCCCTCGCCGTCGAGCCACTCGCTCACGGCGGCGGCCGTCGCCTCCTTGATCGCCCACACGAACGGCCACCCCGACTCCTCCAGGCCGCGGGCGAGCTCGATCGCCTGCGTCGCCCGGAGGTGCGTGAGGCTGCCGAAGCTGACGTACAGCACGGACGCCGGCGGCCGGGCGTCGAGCCACGAGACGATCCGGGCGGCGTCGACGACGGCGCGGTTGCCACGGCTGGCGCTGGAGTCGGCGTCGTCCAGCCTGGCGGCGCACGTCGGCCCGATGGCCCACGCCCTCAGGCCGAGCGCCGACGCGTACGCGTCCACGAAGACGCCCTCGACGTCGCGGAACGTGTTGAGGAGCAGGCCGTCAGCGGTGGCCTCGCCGTCGACCACGTCGCGCGCCAGCTTCTCCGCGCCGGGCCACTGGAAGAAGCCGCGGCACGTGGCCGTGTTGACGACGGCGCGCACGGGGAAGCCCGGCACCTCGAACGGCTCGAGCTGGTCGGCGACGCGGTCGTACACGCCGTGCTTGGCGAGGCAGTGGATGGCGAGGAGGAAGTAGACGGAGGGGCAGTGCAGCACGAGGCGCGGGATGGCGAGGCGTTCGCACACGGCCGCCGTCCACGGGTTGCAGGCGTCGGCGACGACGCAGTCCGGGCGGCGAGGCAGCGCGCGCACGTACGCCTCGAGCGCCGCCTCCATGTTCCACACGGCCTTGAAGAAAGCCAGGTACATGGCGATGTCCACCAACTGGTCCATGTTCTCCACGCCCTCCGGCAGGCCGAACTCCGGGCCGGTGAAGGTGATCTCGGCGAGCTCGACGGCGAGCCCTCCCCGCCGCGCTCCCTCGACGGCCGCCCTGTTGCGCGCGGCGTTGACCGGCGTGGTGACCACCGTGACGCGCGCGCCGCGGCCGGCGAGGAGGCGCGCCAGGTCCACCATAGGGATGATGTGGCCCTGCGCCACCAGCGGCACCAGCAAGAAGTGGAGCTCCTTCGCCGCCGACGCCGCCGCCATCGCCTCCAACTCTGTTTCTCCTCGCGCGCGCGCAGCAAGAGCAAGAAGGTGAGGAGGCGTAGGGACTAGCTTTGCAGTCTAGAGGAGTGTGTGTTATACACGTCGACACGTCGTCGATGACGTCGACGGCCCGGGTTGTTGCGGGGCGCGGCGGCGGAAGATGAGATCGCGGCGACGTGGAAGCCGGAAATACACATTTATTGTCACACTCTAAAAATCTTAAATATATAAATTGTTGTTTAATTGGAATTTTTAGAAATTATTTTAAAAGCCTACAAGCTAAACCCTAATTTTCTAGGAAAATTTTCAACATAAAAGTGAGCTAGATAAAATTTTATTAAATACTATGCTTGCTCCTCTATTTTCTAGATTTTTCTGGGAATTATTTGAGCAAGGGAAGTATTTTTAATAATTGAAACAACATTTCACAAATTGTTTTATTCAAAAAAGTTTAAAAAACCCCTTCTTTAGCCGTTGGACCGTTTTCGGCCCAACTCTCTCTTTCTCTCTCTCCCCGCGCGCGGCCCACGCCGGCCCAAGCCGCCGCCGCCCGTGCCCCTCTCTCTCGGGACACTGACATGTGGGGCCCACATGTCAGGCCCTTCTCCTTCCTCCGGCCGCCGCCGAGACCGAGCCCGAGCCGCCGTCTTGCGCCGCCGTTTCCGCCCAAATCCGACCCGGATTCTTCCAATTGATTGAGGGGTTTTGTTCCTCTCGATCTCCTCTTTCTTTCCCCTCAAGAAACAAAGAAATCCGTTGAGTATTCTCTCCGAATCGAATTCGTTTTGTTTTATCCCTAAAAACCGAGTTCGATTTCTTCCCGAATCGATTCCTCCCGTTTGGAGCTCGATCTCTTCGATCCAATGCCATATAAAGCTTCTCCTTGTTCTTCTCTTCCGTTTGCCCCCTTTCCCGAGCTCTCCCGTGCCTCCTAGCGCCGCCGCGACGTGCTCCAAGTTCGCCGCCGCCGCCGGCCGTCTTCGGCAACGCCGCCGCGCCGTCTCCGCCGTCGCCGCCGCTCGCCGTTGCCGCCGATAGGTGCGCCGTGGTGAGAGGAAGCCCGGCCGCCCCTCCTCTCTCGCCGCCGACCACCGGAGCCCGCTCGCCGCCGTCGACCCGAACCGCCGCCGCCTTCCTCCTCGTCGCCGGCCGCCGTCGTGCACCGTTTGCCGTAGTGGTGAGTACCAACGGGTTCGCCTCGTTGCCCTCTACGCGTAGATGCCCTCCAATCGCCCGGCCGATCGCTCTAGCGCCGGCGAGCTCCTCAACCCGAGCCGGCCGCCGTGCCGACGTCAGCATGACGTCATCTCCAGGGCTGACGTCATCGTTTCCTTTTCTTTTTCTTTTTCCCGATTTTCTAATAGATTAAAACTTCGGAAAATCATAATTAAATAACCGTAGATCCGTTTTAGGTGGTTCAAGTTTCTAAATTTTTCTAAAATCAAGATCTACATGTTAAAAATATCCACATGTACTGTTTATGCTTGTTTTTGTACTGTTTTATTGATTTTGTTTATTTGCTTTAGTTTCCGACGTTCCGGAGGAGAGCGTTTCCATTGAGGAAGGTTCCGAAGCATTTGTGGAAGCCCAAGGCAAGTCACACAGATCCCAAACAACCCTTTGAGCATGTTGATCCCGTTTAAAGCTATTATTTTATTTTCAACTATGCATTGTTTTTGAATGTCATCGGGTGGTGAACCTTTCCCAATTATTTAATGGCCGAAGATGACTTTATTTTCCTATGGGTTATAATTTGATTGGCATGAACCTTATATATTGGATTGGTTCAGCTAAATGCTATATGTAGGTTTGCTTAGCCATGCTTAGAAACATTAGCTAACTAAATGGGGTTAAATATAAATTATATTACATAATTATTATTATTAATTAGGGTTATATTCAATGGTAGCTCACGATGGTAAATCGTGTGATGATAATTAATTGATAATTAAAACTTGGATAAGGTGGGTTGTGAGCATATGGTTTTGATGGTTGTGCTCATGACAATTAAGGACCGGTTCGCGAGCTACTGTTGTGAAACATTTATCGTGCCAACCACAAGCCAGCGTGGGCAACGGCTTTATCTTTTGTATAGCGTGATTCATTAGAGTGCGCCAGACTGAGAAGTGGCGAGAAGTCCATGGGGGTCGCTGGGGAGTCCATGCCTTGTTTATAAGGGGGTGATTATGATCCAGGTACGGTGCACTGTGGTGAATTGTGTTATGCGAGGGGTATTGTCACGACTCCTTTCCGAGGTACCGTGGTGGTATTGAGGCACATGGTGACATGATGTGGGGTTGTGTCTTGTGGGTACAGTGGTACACCTCTGATCAGAGTTTTAATCTATTCGAATAGCCGTACCCGCGGTTATGGGTGAGTTGAGCAATGTTTTTCGTGATTAGTCTCACACTACTCATTAATGGTAATTATGTGGTAATTAATTTAGTTCCTGGTTTGGAATGGTTAATTCCTGGTTTGGAGGTTTAATTTGTTCAACCGGGGTTGGTTGTTCAAATGTGGTTGGGCCTATGCAACATGGGTATGTTGTATGGTGTTTATTTAATATTGATTAATTATACAACTGTTTTACTATTCTCTTAAATATTTATTAAATGCTGTTTTCTGCAAATGAGCTATATTGTGCCATCCTTTGTTATTTTGTGCACTTGCATATTTGTTGTGTGGCTTGTTGAGTATGTTATATGCTCATTCTTGCAATATTCATTCATCAGAAGAGGAGTATCTCAGTGAAGGTGATGATCTGGAGGATTAGGCTTGTTCTCGGTTAAGTTGCCTGTGGAGTGGAGTCGCCATCGCTGTTCCGTAGATTGTTTTAGTTTTATTTTTCCGCTGCGTAGAATGTTATTTTTCTTTGAGAGGAACTATCTACCTCTGTAATAATTTATTATTTGCGAATATTAAATAGTTATTCATTTGTACTCTATTATCAATATTGTCATTGTGTGCCTCGGTTGATTCCTAGACGAGGGTTTAACACACATGTAAGCGTTTGGAATTTTGGATAGAAATTCCGGGCGTGACAAGTTGGTATCAGAGCCACCTTGACCTTAGGATAAGCCAAATGGTAAACCTTAAGTAGCCTTCAAAATATTTTGAAAAAAAAATAGAACTGCTCTTCTCTATTCTCTTACAAATTAATTAAGTTGGCAGCACATGCGAGGTTATGCACAAAACTTATTTAATTCAATTTCTTTTCTTTTAAAAGAAAAAGGTTGTTCTTTTCAAAATGTTTCTTTTTCTCTTTACCCAAAATTTTATTGATTAGTCGGCACTGTACATTTATTATGGTATCGAATTAATCATGTTAGCACTAGTACTACTTATCTTTCCTATGGTGACATTGTACCGTGCTTATAATAGATCATAATTATCTTAGCTTTATTTTAAATATTTGTTAAAAAAAATAATAATATATTTGCCCCTGTCTAAAAAGTTAAATTCTAAAAAAAATATTTATAAAATAGCTTTGTATGTGTCTTTTCTTTTATTTTTCTTCCTTTTGGGTCAAAAATCAGTTAAGTCTAGTTGGTGCAGCTAACTTAGAAAAATATGCATTAATTCTTCTCTTCTATGTTTCTTTAGATGCCGCCCCATTCACCGAGAAATTTGATCGAGGTGTTAGGATTCGTCAGGGAGTTGAGGTTGATGGCTTTTGAGGTAGGCTATGAAGTTGCTCCCGAGTATCGCCAAATTTCCCATGACCCCGACGAGGAGAAGTGTCGTGTTCGTGTGACATTGGCTAGTGATAGTGAAGACCTTCCGTCCTTTAAGTTCGAAGTTGGAGGAAGATCGTACTGCCATGCTTGTCAAGAAGTAGCTTTGGTGGCCATTGGAGAGTTGCGACAACACTTTGAAGAAGAGTTGGATTCATCAGCTTTCCAGTATCATCCTCACAAGGCTCATGGTCAAGACTATGGAACCTATACCTGTCCTGATGGTGAAGAGAGTGCCACTCTGATGCATGTGGTGCATATGCTTAGTGCTATGGATGCAGTAAGTGTGGAGCGAGACAAAGCAGCTCATGACAGGGAAAACTGGAATCAAGGCAAGATTTGCAAGTTGAAGAGCAAGGTGCACCGTCTACAGAAGGAATTAGCTGAACTTAAAGGAGAAACGCCGCCGCCAATATCCAAGCTTCGCCTCACTGCAAGAAAGAGAACCTGTCCGCCACCTCGTCTCCAGTTAGCTTCGAAGATTCGCGTGATGGGTGAAGCTATGCCCAATCGTGCTGAACCTGTCATCGACATCATAAGTGATGAGGAAGAAGAGGAAGATCATAAAGAAAGGGAGCCAGCTACTCCAGAGGAAGAAGATTCATCGTTTCGTTCCGACGCAAGGCGGAAGTAGACGCTTAGTTAGAACGTTGCCATAGTTCGTTGTGTTAGATTGCTTGTTTAAGTTTGCTTGTGAGTGTGTGGGTTTAGTTGTTGCTTACATCATTGGTGGGATGTAACAGCATGAGTCTAGTTCTTTTGCTTGTCAGAGTGTAAGATAGTTGGTGAGATAGTGTTAATGCAACTTAAATGTAATCATACACAGTTAAGAGCAATATAGAATTTAAATTAATTAAATAACTCCGTTCTAAGGGTGTCTCTCTGTCATTCTTTCCTGTTGTCTCTGCTTATCGTCAGATGGTGAACACGCGCACCGGAAGTGGAAGTGGAAGTGGAAGTGGAGCTACTAACAATGGAGGAGAACCCACGCTAGCTCAGATTCTGGCTCAACAGACACAACTGATCAACCTGTTAGTGCAGCAGGCACAGAATCAGCAAGCAAATAATCAGAACCAGAATCCACCCCCACCTCCCCAAAATAAGCTGGCAGATTTCTTACGTGTGAGACCCCCTACCTTTTCAAGCACCACCAATCCAGTAGAAGCAGGAGATTGGTTGCATGCGGTGGAGAAGAAGTTGGATTTGATCCAGTGTACTGAGCAGGAGAAAGTTTCTTTTGCTTCGCATCAGTTGCATGGACCCGCTGCTGAATGGTGGGATCATTTTCGCCAAGGCAGGGCGGGAGGAGAACCTATTACTTGGCAGGAATTCACAGCTGCTTTTAAGAAGACGCATATACCGTCAGGTGTTGTAGCTCT